TTCTTCAAAAAGAACAGTCTCAATACTATTTCAATAATCATATATTCGTATAGCAAAATTAAGAAACAAAACTAAATTATTTAAATTTTCAATAAATAAAATATCAAGCAAATTAATTGTACCATTTTAGAAGGACTATATCGCGTATGGCAACACTGGATTACCATTGTTGTTAGACAGAGACGGGTGTAGTCCGTCTCGCTCACAACTCCGGAATGTGACCCGCTATCACCTTGAAGGCCGTAAACTTACGGACTCTGAATGAAAACAAGAGCTTTCCGTAATATGAGTAAAATTGAATAAAACTTACATTAATATATGTAAATAGATATATTTTTATATTATTTATTATTCACTGATATTATAAATAGAATATTTATTGAATTGAATTCAAAATAAGTCAATTAAAGGCTTTTGTTGCATATATTTGTATTCTACGATCAAGCAACTAACTATCGAATTCGGTAATACAATATATAACAAGAACAAATACAAATGTATATATTTATATCCTTTTATAAACTTTTCGAAGTTTACAGATAATAATTATACTTAAAATCTTTTGTATGTAAACTCAAGAAGCAACCTGATTCTTACTCATATTTTACTTATATAAAATAAATGTTTAAATATGCTTAAATCGTATTCATTGTTTTTAATCTATCATTCATAGTTAAATCTAAGAGATGTTTTATAGAATGTAACGGTGCTTTAATTGAAGTAGCTGTAGAAAAATCTGGACAGAAAACAACGGCAGAACGTTCGTACGAAATATATGAGTAACTATATCGTTTCTTAAAAAAATATAATAAATAACTAGTTTAGGCTTCATATGTTAAAGTTTAAGATACAATTTGGTAGTTTTTTTCATATAGATGACTACAGTCGTGAAGGAAGGCAGATAGAAATGAATAGAATTGTCTTAAACAGAACGATATTTCTCCTTTTACACAAAGTCAATATGACAATAAAGATTAAAACATAAGACTTCTGTGAAACGATTATTCAATTTTATATTTACTTCTTCATTATATTAAGGCTTATTCACACTGGAATTATGGTATATATAACTAACGTCAATGTTTTCATTTTATAAAAAAAAACTACGTTAATATTATTTTCATCGTTTATACGCTTAAACAAACAGTATTTGACTTTTATGTTATCTGTTGAGATCTTCCAAACAATAAAACTTAATTTACCTGTTCTAAAATATTATTGATTTGTCATTTACTAATGCTTTATTCTTAATACTGACTTCTAGGTGAGTCTTTAAATGATACAAAAGAAAGAATTCTATACAATCTATATAAAACTTATCTCGAAAATATGACAAAGTTATGATTCTAAGTCGTAATGTAGATAACATGTTCCCCAAAAAACGCAGTATCCACAAATATTATAAACTTTTTTTAAAATTTATTATTTAAGGTGCTGATACATTTAAAACAATTTAAGCATATGCCATCAATATTTAATGTTTGCCCGAAATTATATTTTTCTCGTAGTAATTGTCCGAATACCGCAAAATTTGGTAATTTTCTGGAATAAAATCATAGGTACTTAGTTGTCAGAGACATTCTAAACTCAATTCATCTTTGAACAAAATTATTATTCAACTACAGCAATTTGCGATTATTATTTGTTTGGAGACCTTCCCCTCATAAGAAACTATTTCAAAAATGCCTAGTCTTCGTAACAGTTGAAAAATAGATGACAGCACCAATCTACATTTCATTTGCACGAAGACGTTATTTACCTTCTGTATCAATATTTTGTTAACATTAATTAATGTTAAGCTAAATTTGAACTCAATTTCAAATAGAAAATATAGAAGGAGAATATTCGAATCCCGCTCCTATCGATAATTTTTTATTTCTATATATACCTACTTCCGATTTAAATATGAATTCACTTTCACCTTTTAAACTCTATAAATATAGTTTTGATTACTTCTCATTCAGGTAAATAGAAATAAAAATCTATGGAACCAAAATATTCAGCCGAAAACGTAACCTTTTTTTTTTTTTTTTTTGATGACGTAGTGGAAACTCTTTTTACGAGCCGTCCAACCGGCCTTGGTGGGGCCGGAAGGGATGTGTGAGGCTCGGCCTGGGCAGGCCCCTACTCACTAAAACCACTGCGAAAGCCATCGGCCGCTATGTCGGTGTACCCCGGATCTGTCAGCGACAGGGCACACCAGCGACTGGCCGGTCCTGGCAAAGACCGGACTTACTCCCTCGGAGCATGGGGGCGATCCCGGCAATTAGGACCACCCCGACGACGCCGGGCTTTCAAAAGGGCCGGGTTACCACGCCGACCCCAGCCCGGAACACAGGGGTGCTATTGGAGGCGTAGGAATTGCCTCCGTCGCACCCCCGTACGTCGCCTGCGGGGGGAGGGAGCATCAGCCGCCCTCTCCCTTTCCCGCTGAGATGCCTCCTTCGTGGACATGACCGTCTCACAGAAGGAGTACACCGCCAACCAGGACCCATCACTCTCGAGCATCTTCTCCACGACACTCGAAAGCGACAGGTTCACTCCGCCGAGAGCCGCCACAAGGTCTTGGCGCTGCGCAGCCCATCTCGGGCACACCTCGAGGGTGTGCTGGGCCGAGTCCACCGCAGCGCCGCACTCATGGCAGCATTCTCCCGGCTCTCTCCTGGCCGTCCGACACAGGTAGTAACCAAAGCACCCGTGCCCGGTTAAGACCTGCGTCAGACGGAAAGTGAGGGGTTTGCGTTTCCGCCTCATCCAACGCTCTAGGACCGGGCGAAGCGCTGCCGTTGTACGTCTACCGTACGGCTGCTCCGCCAGGTCCTCCCCCCACTCCCGCATAAGGCGCTCCTCCCCCTGCCGACGAACCGCTCGGATCTCCTCCGACGAAGGGTTCTCGCCGAGTGCCCTCCTACCCGAGACATAGGAGAACAACTCGGCTCGAACCGACGCCACGAGATCCCAAGGCGGATCGCCGGCAAGGGCAGTCGCTGCGGCCCAGGAGACCGTACGGTACCCCCTAATCACCCTCACCGCAGGAGCCCTTTGCGCAGAGCGCAGCAGAGCTTTGGTCCTGCGGCTCATTGGGCGATCAGCCCAAACGGGAGCACCGTACAGGGCTATACTCCGACAGACCCCAGAGTATAGCCGCCTGCAAGCTGCGCTGGGTCCTCCGAGGTTCGGGAGGAATTTTCCCAGCGCACCTGCCGTCCTCACGACCTTCGGCCCCAGTTCCTTGAAATGAGGCACGAAGGAGCCGAAAACGTAACCTTACCTGACAGTAGCCAAAACCAATAATTAATCTTTAGAACTATAACAGTAGCACTAATGTCAAGAAATTAGACAACTATGTAGATTATTTTTATTTACACTATAATGTGTTAAAATCAGATATTGCGTATAAAATACATAAGGCACTTATTAGGTGCAAAATAAACATTTAATACCAACTTTAAGGTAAAAATACTTTTGAAAAATGTTATATTTTTCTGTCAATAATACATGGTTATTCTAGATTTTAATGCAGTTATGGTAAATTTAACGTGCAATTGCTTAAGAGTTTTAAATAATTATATGGCACCATAGAGAAATCATTTTTTTTAAATAGAAAATGGTGGATGTGGTTCTGTAAGCCGCTACTTATTTTAAACATAATACAAATAAATAATGTTAATCTTTAAAATAACAACATTTAAATGAAAACTAATTTTATAGCTTTTAAATGCTTATTCAATATTTCTAAACTTTTCACTCATATTCTTAAACTCATCTCGTGAACAAGACAAATATAATTTTGACAAGTTAAAAAATAAATTTTAGCAGAAAATTCATAGAGAATAGTTTCTATCGATATTAATGAATGTTTAACTTATGAAAGTTATATAACATAACATAAAATAAAGGTTTTAAACAAAAGTTGTCGATTGTTGTCATCCAAGAAATAACACCTTAAAAACTGTAAAATAGTTTTTTAGCCCAGCATTAATTTCTTTCACATCAATAAAGTTATTTATGTATGGACCGTTTTGATTTTAGATCATCCTGTTATTATTTTTCAATCTACGTGTCAACAGTTGTATTTACTTACTTACTTACTTAAGTAAAGTAAAGTATGTAAAGTCTAAAATATAATCTAAAATATATTTTAAACGTTCAAACATTGTTTTTAAATTTAAACTGTCATATTATTATTAATTAAATATTATAATACTATTTAAACCGAATATTTAAAAATTTGTTAACTTACAAAAACTTATCTATTATATCTTTATAAAAATTTAACCATGCTTAAGGTCATAAAAGAAAGAACACAAAGTTTTAGTGCAATTTCTTATTTCTAATTTATAAAACTTGAATAATGTTTACAATTTGTAATTTATATGTACATTTTATAAAGAGTAATAGACAGATTCTAATGGAAACTTTCGAAACAGATTCTCAATGACGATTGTATGAGGATGATACATCGGTTGTTAGGCATTGTAAATTTTGACGTTTGTGGATATGTAAAGTAAAACGTAGTGATATGAAAGTGCGATTAAACGCTTATGTGATCTGATTGTGATTAATACGAATATTGCATGTTTTTAAGAAATTAACAAAAATTAAATTGTCGAATTACGAGGAAGTGATAGGAATGTTGTTTAATAAACGGGCCGACCTCATACGAAGTTATTCATTGTCGTTATAGCGCCCACGCGACGCGAGCAATCATGTAATTTGCGTGATAGGAAGTGAGTGCTCCAGAATTGGAAGAGACCTTACCGTGTGCAGTCAACCGAGGTTAGTTATTGATCTCACAATATTAGTCATATCGTGGATAAAGCTGTTTGCATTGTGACTCATTCCGCGTTCAGCTTTGTCGTCTTTCGTTCTCATTTCACATTCAAAGTGCAGGTAAATATTTATCTTCTCTCTTTAAAGTTGAAGTCAAACATAAGGAATCACTTATATATTAAGTAAAACATGAAAATTGTATTAGATTTTTTAAACATTTACAGAAAATGTCACGTATAAGACCCCAATGGCAGTTACAAGCTCTTGCTGCTCAGAAACGTGATAATGAAATAAGACGAGCTGAAGAAGTGAAGAAAGTTGCCAATTATTTTGAAATTAACACAAATAAATCCAGACATCACGAACAGTGGACCACAGAAGGATATTATGAACGAGCTAAAAAAGAGTCTGAATTACTTAGTGAAAAAAAAATTAAAGCTGCGTAAGTGTAAACATGAAATAATAGACCTTGTTATTTGAAGAATATTATAATTGTTTATCAACTTTAACTTATAGATTAATAGTGTAATGTAGGTAAAATTTTATAGCTATAGTAACCCTATCGGAACAACGCAAAGTAATGTTACTTTATACAAATATATATTCATTTAATATAGAATGATTTAAGGAATAAAAACTCTTATATAAATAACTAAATAATGTAACACTATGTTTATGTGTAATTAATTGCTTTGTTGTAGACAATTGGAGGAGAGACGGAAAAAGCTAGAGAACCTGTTGTTTCAAGAGAACATACAATACCAGCAGGAGATCAAAGTATTGGCAGCACAACCTAAATACTATAAAAATGGGTATATACAGTCACTTTTATGTGTGCAGAATAAAAATATACCTAGTAAATGAATTGAGCTTTTTATTACCCTATTTGTTATGCTTATAGTGTTAGCACTTTATTTATAGCATATGTAGAAATATATTGCTTTATATATTTATATGATAACATATATGTTAGTATTAGTTATGTAGAAGTTATACTTTTTATTGCATCAGTAGCATTTAACAATATATATTTTAATTCAATGTTTGGCTTAGATTGATTGAGTGTTGTTGCTTGGCATAGATAGATTTTTTTGATATAAATATATAGCAACTTTTTTATTTATTTAAAACAGATAATTAGCATAAATATAAGAAATATTTATCTTAAATACATTTGATAATTATAGTATTGATATTTAAAAATTCAGGTCATACCTAAATGATGTACCGACATCAACTCTGCGAGATATCAATCAAGGTATTATGGCCAAAGAGGAACAGATGAGGAAACAGGAAGCTGAATTAAAACTTTATCATGCTTGGAGGTTAAGGCAGCCGGAGATCAGGGCCGCCACAACATATGTCAATGGCACCAAATTAAAATCTGCCTGGTAATTATTTTACAACATTTTTCAAGGCATATAATAATTATAACAATACTATTCCCGCTTTCACTTTATTTTAAAGATAAGAAGGAATAAAATAGTACCTTTTTTGTAGTTCCTTCAAAACAAACTACTGTGGTGATTTATTAGATAATAAGTAATTATTATAAGATGATTAGTTTTTATAGGATGGAACAAACAGTACTATTTCCTATTTCACTGTATTTCAAAGATATTAAAGAATAAAGTAGTACCTTTTTTGTAGTAACTTTAAAACAAACTACTGTGGTGATTTATTAGATAATAAGTAATTTTTGTAAGATGATTCGTTTTTACAGGATGGAACAAATAGTTGAGAAAGAGTTGCAGAAGAAAAAGGAAGAAGAGGAAACACGAAAACTCCTGCAAGAAAGGGATGAAGCTCTAAGGAAACAAATAGAGATTGAGCAAGAGAGATTGAAAACAAAAGAAATACAAATGAAGGTGGGAATACTGCTTGGCATAATAACTATTCTCTCACAATCTTATAGATAACTTAATGTTGAATCTACTTTTATATTTCAGGATCTCAGGAATAGCTTACAGGATCAAATAGCCGAATTAAGTGAGAAAGAAAGTGCAGTTAAAGTGCTCAGAAAACAAGAAGAGAGGGAAAGACAAATATTAGAAGAATTACAATTTATAGCAAATGAAAGAGAAAAAGAATTTGCAAGGCTAATGGCTGAAAGGGATGTCCATATTATTAATATGGGCCTACATAAATATAAACTTAAACGGAAAGTAGTTGCTGTTATGGCAGAAATAGATCTGGAATTGCAAATGTTAGATAGAATTAGAAAAAGTGTACTAAAGGTAAATTAGCATTTATTTTAGTATTAGACAAGTTTTATTATAAGAAAATACAAGATGAAGTAATAAAGCCTTGTAGTTTTATATGAAATTTTAATTATCAGAGATGTGTCATCCTATTTGTTAATTAACGCCAATAACGAATTTTGTTTGAAGGATTATGAAGCAGATCGTGAAAAATGCGCGAAATATAAAAGCATTTTGGATGCGGCGTTGCAAGAGTTAGAAGAGTACAGAGAGAGGGAAAGACAGAGACAAAAGAACATCGAGGCCATGTATGACGGTGAGGCGAGGCAGATAAATGAAAAGCAAGATAAGGTTAGTCATACATTGTATATATTTGTACTTGTTTTAACCTTAACAAGTTTACCATAGATGGCGCTTTCCATAATAATGTACTATCGTTAAAATGACAAGTGTCAATTCTGGTTTTATGAAATAGAGAGTTTTACCTACCAATAAAACTTACCTATTATTTTTCCTTAAGACATCCGGAATCCATCTTGAGTCAAGCACCTGTCTTTTTAGCCTTTTTTGTCCAGTTTTCGCTCCCTTCCGGTGCAACTTCAGCCCTCTAATGTCAATTTGGCGGGAGAAAACTTGCACATTTTAACAAATTGATATTTCTTACCTCATTATACATACTCGAGATGAACCAGGTAGAAATTACCTGGATTCCGGATGTCTTAAGGAAAAATAATAGGTAAGTTTTATTGGTAGGTAAAACTCTCTATTATTGTTCCATGTTGACATCCGGAATCCATCTTGAGTGACGTGTTTGTTATCACCTGTTCATAAATATTATGACGATGCTATAATGTGTCCAATAAAAATTAAATTATTGGAATAAAATAATTTATTTAAATAACAATTTGATTTAAGGAATCTATCAAAATAGCTTGACAGCCAAACTTTTGTGCTTTCCTGTGACCGATTTAATACAACTCTTTTAAAACCTCTTATAGGTAAAGGATCTTGCCCCCGTTTCTAGTTTCTAAATTTTATCTATTTGAAAGCATTCTATCTAGTTAAGGGAAGCTACTGAAGGTCTTACAGATCTGGGAGAAGCTTCAATACCAGCTTCTTTGTGTAAAGACTTAATCCAAACTCGACCATATTTGACGCTACTCTAGGTCCGCCCCTCGAGCTGTCAAAGATAATTTATTTAAAATTATTGACTTACTCTGCGCTTCCTTTGGATAAATCAACCAATCGGTAAACCCAGTATATTATATAATCAAGCGATGTAGTGTTTGTATCTATACAATAGATTTAACACACTAGTCTCATGTACCCCAATAGAGGGCGGCATTCGCCTGGCAGCCTCACGATCAGCGCGGAGCAGAACGGTGACGAGCGCCTGCACTTTAGGCCGGGATAGTAGTGAGCCAATGACTAGATATTCTTATATAGAGGAAGGGGGTCCTACAACGGGCTTGTAATGGGCTTTGTAAAATTTTCCTTCCTGACTGCCTGTAACTAATCAGGCTTAGATTCGGATCGTGGCCAAAATGTAACGGGATTACCCTTATCAATAAGTTTTTAATCTTCAATTGTTAATAAAGTGAGATAATGGACTTTACGTCCTGACGATAAAAGCTGCAGGATTGCTACTACAATGAGGAAGTCCCGGCTTCCCCCGGGGGGGGGGGAGGGTTAAGGTTAAGGTTAACGCGTAAGCTAGCTACGACCCTACCTGCAAATGTAGGCAGGCCATTCTGGAAGGCATTTGCAGCCCTAGTTTTGTGACAGAGTCGCCACTAGCGAGGCGGTGCCCAGGGACAGCAGGTCCCACATGGCTGGCCTCCTGCCAGCGGCAGAGGATTTCTATTAGCCACCGCAAACACTATAAATTGTTTACATTTACCAGATGTGTGCTGAAATATTGTAAACAATTTAAGAGTCCCAGATAGGTGATGTGGAACTCTTCTTTTTTTTGGTTACTGAAATAACTTTAAGAATGTGTTTAACGAGAATATACACATAAAGTTAGATGCAAAATCTATATTTTAGGGAACTTTAGTAAAATTAAGAATAAAAGATTCATGTACAACGACAGATAGGTACAGACCAAACCCAGGTAACAGGGTACGTTTTGTGAATATGGGTTTTTTTAATCACTTACTCGTCTTAACCACTACAGACTGTATTTTATTTTTTTTTCAAAACGTTGCTAGATAATGAAAGGGATTATCTCTTACTCGTTCAACCGTCACGTCATTTCCGTCCACCCGAAATTAGCCACGATACGCAAATGAAGATCCCGGACCTTCAGCTGGTGAATTTTACGTCAAGGTGTCTACTAAGACTTGACAAAGGTTGGGAATTTGTTAAGACTCTTGCAGAGATCAATGTAGTAGATCTTCTGCTCAAAGACTATTTTGCCATGTCGGAGCTTTTGTTATGAAGCGTCCTTTGGCATTGTTCAGGTATTATAGCCCCGAGGTTAGGAGGTGGAAATATCGAATCAAGGTCGTAACTTCACTGATGACTGAAAGCGTTGTGGTAGGTAACTTTTCAATCCGCTATACTCAATGTCGCCCATTGATTAACTACCGTGCTGACCCTTACGCAGATGAATCTATCTGATGTACCCTTACGCAGATGAAACTATCTGATGAAATATACTGTGCTAAGGCGGACATTGCATATTCCGAGCTTTAGATAACAATATCAACGGTCGGTCAAGTCAAGTTCAGAGCAATTTCCGCCCTGGTACTTCCTTCTTTGTTTATATACAATACCACTGTTCGATTGTCCGAGAAGAAAAGAATGTTGGCATCGTTTAATCAACTCTGTTCGTGGGCAAAAGCTTCTAGGTTAGCTTACGATTCCTTGTACTTGCCATGCCATGTTTTCTGGGCCTCAGTCTCTCCTATAAGCGCTTCTCGGTCGACTGCTAAGGCATCGGCTGTTATGTAATGCATTTCCGAGCCCAAACGTATCGGCAGTGCAGCTAAGAAAGCTTTTAACCATCAATGTAACTTGAGAACCTGTGGTTCTGCAAGTATTTTGAGGTGATTTAAAGGGAGGGATACTGTCGCCTGTGGTATGCAGTGTACGACCGTATCTCCCTCTGCACACAACCAATGGGGCAAAGTTAAGTCTCCCCAAAAGGAGCTGGGCCTGTTCGGGGAGCCAACTGCCTTGGCCAATCTGATGCTGAAGTGAAGCGCATGCGTAGGGCGATGCACTTCAGTTCCGACAGGGACTTCGGGTTCAGTTTTGCGTCCCATGAAATGCCTAGGTATTCTGGACATTGAGTCAGAAACAGCACAGATTTAATGAAATTCATTGTCCGGCCAAGTTGTTGCAGAATACTGATGGTGAAGGCTAACCGGTCGCTCAGAATGTGAGGCGGTTGGTTTGCCAATTAAAAATCTTCTTAATAAAATACGCTTCTAATGTAGTGATGGCGTAGAAACTCTGCTATCCAGCCTGTGACGCATGCCAGTATTCGGGGTGCCGATGGTAAACCAAAAAAGCTGGCAAGTGTAGTAAATATAACAAACAGGGAAAATAGAATTGTCATAAACCCGGCTTCGCTAACCAGTTTCCAGTTTGTAAAGAAAAGCTGGAAACGTTTTAAATGAACAAAGCTATACAACTGTTTCAAATTAAATGTCTCACGTTGTAAATCGTAGCTTTTAGGAATCGAAAAGAATGTTCATAGAAAACCGAGTGTAATATCAGCTCTTTCCAACATTTTAAAGAAAAAGATATGTGAAATCCTTTAATGATTCCACAGATGTAATTCGGTACATATAACTTTATCCAGATATCGATCTGTTTTTTAATAGTTGGTATTTATTAATACCTTATCTGGCCCCGCCCCATTTTTTGTATGTAGGCAGACAGTCAATATATCAAATACTATTTTCTGAAAACGGAGGTATGGTCTGTAAAGTCCAACGATAAAAATTCTCCGTTACTCGTTTTCATTAATCTTCTCTTAAAGATTGTATGAAATCAGCGCGAATACCACAAATAGTTCAAGGAATATCTTTGGTTTACTTGGAGTATTCCAAATCTTAAACATTTTATTATTATTTTAATATAGTTATTATTTTAATAATAATTGCGTATTTAAATTTGTTTTACTACCACTAGAATAGTCTACGATTTTTAGTTAGGCTATTTGACGTACTTCTTTTCGAGATATTAAAGCATTTTTCAAAAGCTGCAATTCGAGCTCTAGACAAAGTTTATGCTCGTCGTTCAACATCCTAACTCACTACAATTGCTTTAATTCAAACAGTTCCTTAAATTCGTTGTAAGGACCTGGCTCTCCGGCGGGGAATCGAACCCCGGTCTCCCGCGTGACAGGCGGGGATACTGACCACTATACTACCGAAGATATCATCACGACTGACGAAAATCTTACATTCACTCTATTGTCATGTAAACGGGAGTGAAAGCAGACAATAATTGTAAGAATTAATGTCCACGATATCTTTTTATCAGAATGAAGCAGGTGTCGGGTACCGTACGTCGTACGAGACAGTGATCCGTACACCGAGACGCATCAGAGTAAAATGCGTCATTTACTTCTACAGCGAAGTATTTCAACTGATAATAATCATCAAACCGGAACGCATTCCAACATTAAATATTTGTATATAAGATAATTAAAATCAATGTAAATTCGTTGGGTTCGTGAAAGTCCGTTCCTCAATATTGATGGTTAAACTCAGATATGGACAACCGTCAAGTGCGGTTTTTGAATTTCGTTACTTTATATTCCCAAAGGATATCGTTAACTGACTTCTGAAATCGTGTTCTTTAATATTTTAAAGTGAAGTAATTATTGTAAAATATTATTACATTTTTATTTATTGTAATGTGGGTACTCAATAAAAAAAGAAGCCACTTGTCGCATCTGATATTGAAAATATGAGCTACTTACAGCTTTGGGAGATCGTTTTGGTAGACTGTACCTGTCCAGACTGGAACCTCGTGACGAATACTCACTGTCACACGAACTTTTTTCCCAGTCCATGACGTTCGAAGGGAGACAAATATTTAAATATTAACACTTTTCAATACGAACACTTTAAAGACTGTAATAATTATAACTACTAATAAGTATTCTTAAAAACTGGACTACTGCTCGCTCTGAAAGACGATGCTATAATGAGGTAAGAAATATCAATTTGTTAAAATGTGCAAGTTTTCTCCCGCCAAATTGACATTAGAGGGCTGAAGTTGCACCGGAAGGGAGCGAAAACTGGACAAAAAAGGCTAAAAAGACAGGTGCTTGACTCAAGATGGATTCCGGATGTCAACATGGAACAATAATATAAAATTTTATGATATTGGCAAGTTACACATTATATTACTTAATATTTACCATATAGGAACTTCTCAGAAATATATTTAATACTTTTTTATGTATATTTTTACACACATGATGAAAGATGAGGTATTTGCCTTATTCTGTAGACAAAAGGTTTCATTTTGACACTATAGAAAATTATATTAGTCTTTACTATTACATAAATATTATGATAGAGGCAGATGAACTATTCACAGTAAAAGTACTGGATGGATTTCAATTAAATTTTTTTAATCTCAACAACTTAATGTTATTAATATATTTTCGTTTTATTTATAATTCAAGGAGTATAAGTGGAAGAGTTAATTATATTTTAAATGTTAAATGTAAGAATGCCTCATGAAAGATATGTATACATATAAAACAAGTAGTACATAGCTGTGGATATAAGCCATTGTATTTTTATAAATAATGTCACTCTATATTACCTTCTACGGTTTTGTGTAGGTTGTTCTGTTTGAAAATAAAAAAAAACAAAAATATTTATGTAGTTATAGTATAAGCATCAAATATACTTCAAGAATTTGATGTGTAACTTATATGTAACATGTTTAAAATAATATTCTTACAGTTCCTTATGATTCTGGCTTTAGCCTAAGATTATTTAAGTTTTAAAAATAAATTGTCAGATTATTTGTTGTTTCTTTACTCACTTAGCAGTCACTGTTATTTAACTTGAAATATGCCAAATACATAACTGTCCTAATTTTTTAGAACACAAACATATATTCGGTTAATTTTTTCTGGTCTTTTTGATCACTCTTTAATATACATATAATATCAATTGTAGGAGTCCACTGTATCTGTTTTCTATATGCACTTATGCATATATATTATTAAAATAAATATTGAATAAAAAGCAGTGTTCATCAAACTACAACTATTTTAATATATATAAACTAGTTAATATGAACAGAATTTGACAATTATGAATACTATTTCAGCTTTGGGAAAAAGAACGTGAAGCTCGCAGTCTTCTGATGAGGACAGTTGTGGAAACATTGAAAAAACAATTAAATGAAAAGATACAGTACAATATTAAGCTACAGAAAGAGAATGTTCTAGAACGTGAGAAGATTCTAGAACAGATGGACAGCTTCCATCAGGAAGTATGCTCTAAAGAGAAAGAAAAACAGGTAAGCCACAAAACATATGGAAAAAGACCCATTAAAATATATTGGCAAATTAATATTTGCAGTCCAAACTTCATACAATCTGGAAACATCAAAATAATAAGAGCACATTTTTAAATTAAATGCACTATTATCCCTGAATTATCATAGCTGTGGCAATGTGTAATATGGAATATTTTAATATTTATTCAAAGGCTAAGAACTAAAAAACTAATTTGAATATTAAAAATAAATTAAAATACATATTAGATTGATTCAGTTTGTTGGAGATTATATTATCAAATTATAATTTTTATCTGATTGTTGTGAAAATTCAAAAACATTCCAAATGTTATAAGAATTAATGTACTTACAATTAGTATATAATAAGTATAAGCATAGGTATACTATGGAAATAGATTTGTTATAAATATACAGTCAGAAAATGTATTTGTTTTAGTAAAGTATTTAGGACTAGTGTTGTGCACACATAAAAATACTATAAATATAAATTTATTATAACTTTCAGCTCAAAAATATTACCACATCCACAATACAAACACTTCAAGCTCAGCTTAATAGCCTCCGGCTTCAACAGTCACAGCTCGAGGATTCATTACAGAGGGAGGAGGAATTACGAGCTGAGGCTTTAAGGGAGAAATTGGTTCGAGCTGAGATAGCAAGGGTGCAGAGAGAGGGCAGTACAAAGGCCTGGGCTTAAATATATTGATTGATGGATTTATGACGATTTAATAACAAATGAAATGAAAATATTTCACAGAAAACGGTTTGACACATATACTTATATTTAAGTACGTAACTCACTGGTATCATGTGGGTGATATTTTAATATAAGTGCCTTTAAATAGTTAATTGTATTGGAATATGTCCCTCCATGTTCCAAACATTCCAAGGTTGGCTTTAAAACCTTATTTTATTCTGTTTGAGATTATTGTGTGGTGTGTTTGTGTGTGACATGAGTATTGTAATAAATAGGTTTTTATTTAACTACACTAACAGTGAATGATATTAGAGAAATACTTTAATTTAAAAACAAATATTACTTTAATACTACCAGCCCACCATATTTTATTAGAATTTTATTATGTGTGTGCATAATGAATTAACATAATATTTTATATATCGTGTGTTTTAAATTTAATAATTCAACCTGAATTGTTTCTATATTGAAGAAACAGTTTTTTATTCTGTTGGACTAGTTTAATGGATGACATTTAATTTATTTCAATTATAAAATGTAGAATGAATGAAATTACTACTTATTATCACTCTGATTTTATTTATTTTTTTCATAACAACAATAAATTTTTAGGTAATGTCAAATGTGTAAAGAAGTTAATATTAACCAAGAGACTGAATTTCATAGTAACAGTATTTGACAGGAATATTAGTTTTTAAGTTCAAATAGGAAATAAAAGGCTGGTTTATTAAGACATGATTTCTTAAGTATACATATTTTGTTGTGACTAAGGACTGTAATATAAATTCAGTCTGAACTTTTTATAATTATACATTTTAACTATAAAATGTATAAGAATGACGAATAAACTCAATATACTATGAATAATAAAAGACTTTTATATTTTAAAATGTCAAAGAGGACTTGATTTGGTGTGAGAATAAAATTATAATATGACACGTTGTATTTTTATATCATCCTGAGTTTTTAGGAGAGTTTCTACAATCTTGTTGGATGGAAAATTAATCATTACAGATATATTATACATATTTAAGGTTGTTCTTTTAAAAGATATATTTTTAAATAGTATGGAGAATGCTGAGCGATAAATAAATTGCACTTGCTTATGAAAAAAATCGATTTTTGTATTAATTTTATTTTAATTAATGGATAAAAATGAAATTGGTTATAGTGAAAGTGCTAAGCGATTTTATCTATATTTGATATTATATTTAAACCATGTTTTCGTTGCATTTGATTCCTTATTAGGAAAAAATGTTACATTTCAACAGACTTTCTTTTATTATATTGAATAATGATATGCGAAATTTTAAGCGATTTGATATTCCGCCTATTACTTAGTAGTCATAAGCTTTTGCTTCTTGATTAGACTTTGTATGGTTTGTAATTTAAAAAATAAATTTTTTTAAAAAATAAATAATGACTTTCTTGAATAAATGTTTTTAATTTTATAAGCTGGGCTATTCATGACCATTCTGTGTTGAGTATTATGACTAGTGTTTACCCGGGTTTCGCTTGCAGAATCAATTTTTATCTTGTTGCTAGCATTATTTAATAATAGAATATAGTTTTAAAATTGCATAGCCATTTCAAACTTATTGATCAGTAATGCTAAGCTGTAGCGAAAGTCTCTGCTCGTGATTCTTTAATTGGCGTGTTTTCATTTGTTTATTGTATTTTGAAATCGGTATCCTTAATATAAATAATCGGTAATAATTAGTTGGTTTAACTTTTTATTTTTTAGTTTTTTTATTTATTATTTTTTAGTCTTTATTTATATTGTAGTTTTGAGCCAGACCCGAATTATTTACTACACAAGCATATGCGATGGGAATTATTAATTATTTCACATATATGTATATATTTTGTTTTTGCGACCACGCTATTCAAATCAGCACAATCTTATTTCAGATATATTTTTTCAAACTTTAAATTTATGACTTCAAGCTTGCATTTTTTCTAAATGTGTGTATGAGATTGAGAAAAGTAATAATTTATGGCAAAGTACTGAACGTTACTAAAATATAACTAGTATATATAATGTTTGATTTATTGAAATAGATATTTACAAATGTTGAGTTATTTTAAAAGTTTTCTGTGTCTTTATAATAGTCTAAGAAAGTTATAACCAGCTCTGAATGTATGTGTGATGCGAGATCTAGCAAGCGACTATATTTATTACAAATTTTTACTCGCGGGTTCGCTCGTGTACATTTTTTTAGGTATATTTTGTGTATCCAAAAATATTTAGCCTTACGTATGTACCCTTTTAAGGATTAAGCTTTGCTGTGGTTACACTTGTGTTAAATTGTTCTTTATTTTAATTATCTTTATTTTAAATATTTTCTTAACAAGTATATGCGATGATAATACTCAGCGAATTCTTGTATATTTTATATTCACATCATAACTGTTATATTATTTTTTTTGTGTATGGTGAAACTACTGAACGGATGTGAATTAAATCAAGTGAATCATGAAAATTATGGCTAGGTTTTTATGAAGGAGCCTCTTTTAGATTGATATATAATCAAACATCATGCGAGTAAAATCGCAGGGCAAAGCTTGTAAATAGAACAGAAATGCTTTATTTATTGCGGTCGTTGAATTACTTTTAGTTCACAGTTTTTCTCATTGGTGTATTTTTCGAATTTCTATATACATAAATTTTATTATATTCTCATCATTTCACAAACATGGACTTGCGATCGAAAATGCTTAGGTTCTTTACTTTTAAATTATTTTTTTAATCTGAGAGTCATTTTTACTTTTAAGGTCGTCCACTATTGTCTTCCACAATAGTGTATAATAGTAATGAAAATTGGTTGAACTTTTTAAACAATATTAGATATGAATAAAATTAATTTAGTAAATACTTTATTTATACGCTTTTACAAAGTGTGATGAATCGTTAGAAAAAATAATAATAACGACTAGTTTGGAGCAATGCACTTGCGAATATTGTTCTCTAATTTTGGTCTATCTTATAGTTACACTAATTATTTTATACATAAATTATGCGATTTAACATATCACTATATGTATGTATATGTATACATGTATGAATAAATATTTATGTGCCCTGAATGTACACATTGATGAAACATATCTTTTGCACATGTCTTTACTTGTAATGTTAGTATTTATATCAATATGGAACTTCTAATAACTGTTTAAATAAGTGTATGCGATTGAATTATAATACAAGTTACTATTTTTTCAACTTATTTTATATTTTTTTTTATTGTACACAAAACTGCTGAACGGATTTAAGTGAACTTAAAGGTTAACATTACACAAAGGCATTATTGATCATGAAAACCGATTATTGAAAAAGCTAAGTAAATAATAGAAATAGGTAAAAAAGTAAGATTAATTATTTAGAACTAGCTTTTGCCTGCAGCTATGCTGACCTATATGGTTTTGTAAATGTATATTGAGTTTCTATTTTATTTTATTATTTTTTGAATTAGTTTATGACTAATTCAAAAAATAATAAAATAGTATATTCCACCTGAGCGTTAACAGCCTAAAACCTGATAATTTCGATGGTTAATAGTTGAGAACACTTGTTTTTATACTTAAAGTCATTGCGCTAATTCTAATTCTAACACTGTTGTGGTAAGAGTAAAAAATAAATACATACACTAATATGTTAGAAAGTAATATCTCAATAGCTAAGTATATTGTGATCATTTTATATTATTACCAACCAACCGGTAGCGACATCTATATTTCGTGTCATGGAACTTTTTTTAACAAAATGATAGTTGTACCTTGATTTTGCAAAAACTGCACCGAATTCTGGGATCATTTGTAAACTATGTCTTATTCTGACTAAGTAACATTACTCTAAATATTCATTAAAATCGGTTGGATGGTTTTTTTATGTTTTAGGATCAAATATCAAGGCCTTTTTAGAATACGTTCGCGTTTATAATATATTCTCGTACCAATTGTAGTATCCTGGTTATACGAAATTCTTCCACACCTTCGCAATTACTAGTCAAATCTTTAGAATTACTATTCTCTGAAGGAAATTAGGCATTTCCTTAGATTAGTATTATCAAAAGAAGATATTATATGACTGCAGTTAAACTATGTTTTACATCCGTCTATACAGGGTGTATGAAAAACTGTGTCAACCCTTAAAGGCATGTATACATATAAGTATAAGCTTATTATAAAAAATAGTATAACTTAAAAAAAATCAAGCAGAGGTCAGTTACAGTGCATAGGCTAAATAAGTTTAAAATCGACATTATTTGAAAAAATGTTTCAAACATCTGACGCAATACAAGGTCAAGGCCCCGTATCGTCGCGAAGACGCATGCGCGGCCTTTGATCGCAGGCGCCGGCCGCCGGCGTGGCACACTCGTCTTTTGTTAGTGTTTATTAGGTAGGTTTATCGATAAATATTCTATCGACATTTTCAATATTGCTATAAATAGTTATGTTTTTCTTTAGTCATTTAAAGTAACTTTTATAAATAATAAATATTATTAATCAATATTATAATTTGGAACTTCTTCAGGTAAATTAACTATGTTGTATTATTAGGATAAATCGTTAATCTATTTCTGTTAGAAATACTGTTTTACAATCAAAAATAATACTAATGTGTGATATATCAAAATAAGTATCGAAACAATATGAATATTAAATATTTATTTATTGTTATGATTTTTTAAATATCGATATTTTCAATAATGTGAAAGTAACTTCGAGTTCGTCACTAGTAGCGCAGCAGGTGTGATGACGTCATTGTGTGTCATCGTGTTATACCAGGGCTTACAAACATTTTGTTACTCTACATAAAATAATCATTTAATATTTAATTTTATTATTTTTATTGAAGAGTTTGTAAATTTAAGTTGTTTTAGTGTGTTACATTTTCGATACTGATAACGTAGTTAAGAGGGTTGACACAGTTTGTCATACACCCTGTATAAGATATATGGACCAAAATCGGTATACCTGGGTTTTTAAAAATATTATTA